GCGCTGCCAGCGCTGCAGGCGAGCGCTTGCCGCAGGCCTGGCCTGGCCTGGCCAAGCCCGCAGACGGGCGCAGGGGCTGCCTCCGCCGCACCTCATCCAGCGCCGCCATAACGCGGCCCACCAACCGCCTCCTTCCCCACAGCTAATCAACCACGTCCAGCTTGCCTCGTTTCTATTGGCTAGCGAGAATCAGGGGGCGGGGATTATCCATACGATTAGCGAATAGGAAGGCGCCAGCGGTTTTATTGGGCCAGTGGGTCAGCGGCGCCCTCGGCTCTCAGCCAATAGGCGCGCGGTCGGGGGAAGGGGCCGTTATGGCGGCGCTGCCGGTGCTGGCGCTGCTGCTGCTGGCGGCGAGCGGCGGCCCGGGCGCCGCGGGGCAGAAGCGCAAGGAGGTGAGAGCAGCGGCCGGGCCGCGGCCGGCGAGGTCTGCGCCTGCACTCCTGCCTGGCCGCGTCTAAGAGTGCGCATATATACATATATATGTGTATATTCTTTTTGTCTGCTTTAAGTTTTTTTGTTGTTGTTTGTTTGTTTGTTTTTCTGGGGGGCAGAGGGGAGGGAGAGAGATGAGGGTGTTTCGGTTTTTTAATGTTCTTGTCTTCCTGATGGGGTGTGGGTAGGGCGGAAACTTAGCCTGGTTTGGTGTGAATCACAGCCATGCCTTTTGCCCCCACCTGCTGACTTGTTTGTTTGTTTTTTTCCCCTAGGCTTTAAAAAGATTCCTTCTTCATTTTTATTTTTTTTTTAACTTTTTTTAAAGGTAGCTGACTGATTACTGCAAACAGTTTTTTTTCCCTCCCCAAAGAGGAGTGTGTTTGCAATGGTAGGATTAGGTAAATGTTATCATACAGTGCACCTTATCTAGTGCTATTTCAAGTAAAGTTGTGGAAGTGATGTATTCCTATCTGCTCTTTTTAAAAGAAAAATTTACTGTTGCGCACTCCCAAGTTCTCTGAAACGTTTACTGAGGGAAGCTTTTCAGCAATCCTGAAGCTGAGGTTCTGAACTCCTCTCCAGATGCCCTCTGCTGAGCACTGAGTTCTGGAACCTTCTGGGGCAGAATGTGCTGCCTGGTAGGGTGTAAAAGTTGGGGGGCTGATTGGCTTGGGGTGATGCACCTGAAATGGGACTCCCAATAGCAGCAAGAGGAAGTGCTCATGAACTGATAGTCTTCATCAGGTTATGTAATACTAAGTATTTCTATAATGGCTTAAAACTACTATTTTCAGAATGGCTTTCAAAAGGCTGTGAATGTCTTTAATAATACTAATAGAGTGTCAATGTTCTTATGAAATACTGTGCAGTAGTTTCTTGTGTCATATATAAAGACCTTCAAGATTGTGGTGTTATAGATTTAAAAAAAAAAAAGGCAACAACAAATATACTGATCCTTCTTTGATTCCCTCCCTGCCACTTTCAGATGGTGTTGTCGGAGAAAGTGAGCCAGTTAATGGAGTGGGCCAGTAAGAGATCTGTTATCCGAATGAACGGAGATAAGTTTCGACGCCTTGTGAAGGCACCACCGAGAAACTATTCAGTGATTGTGATGTTTACTGCTCTGCAGCCTCACAGGCAGTGTGTTGTTTGCAAGTATGGACTTAAATTAAACTTTAAAGTCTTCATATGCCTTGTAGGATATTTGTCCAGGAAAATGATTTTTTTTTCTATTTTCACATAGAAAAATACTATAGCAAAATTTTAAGCATGTGGGAATAGTGTGTAATACATAAGTGAAAAAATAATGTAATCCTTAATGATTGCTCTTATGAAGTCATTATTACTATTCAGACAGAATATTCCTTCTAAAAGGCTTCTGGAAAAGCATAAGATGAATATTCAGCTTTCCTGGCATAAACTGCTGAGAAATACTTGCAGAGTTACTGTGGGCCTTGCAGTTGGAAAAGTTGCTGTTAATTAGTACTTTCTGTGATTAATATGGATCCTTAAACATATTTTGCTATTTATATATTAGTTCAGGGGAAGCACAGCTCTGTAAAGATGAATTTTGTACCTAGTTAGCTAAAGCTAATTGTTTTTCTGCTGACACAGAGAGGACACACTTGGGTTCACTTTGGTTCTCTGCAGGCTAGCAGGACATGAGCTGCTCTGTTCCACTTCAAGCATCTCTAAACACGCCCTGGAGGTGACCGTTGCTTGTGGTCACAGGTTGCATTGACCTTGCATTTCAAAAATGATGGTACCAAATGCTGAATGTGGTTGTTAAATCTATCCTTAAACTTTTTAAAATCAGAACTTTGGAATATTAACATAGAAAATGTTAGAGGAGGGTTAGGGTGTGTAACTTGCATTTGGACAATCGTGTCATAGCATTTCATTTTTGTGTGTTTTTTTTTTTTTCAGACAAGCTGATGAAGAATACCAGATTCTAGCAAACTCGTGGCGGTACTCCAGTGCATTTACCAATAAGATATTTTTTGCTATGGTAGATTTTGATGAAGGCTCAGATGTATTTCAAATGGTAATACCCTTCTCTTTCTCTTCAGACATTATTTTTAACTTGGATTTTGAAGAATGAGAACAAGAAAGTCAAGAGATACGTAAGATGTAGTGTTGCAATAACTATAGAAATTAAAAGTTACCACTCTAATTCAGAAGAAATGAGGAGACTGGATGGCAGTATCATCTTGACATTAATTTTAATAACACTGACAATCCTGGAATAGGTGCTAGGAGTGGCCTGGGTTGTTCGTTTCTTCTAGGTCTGTCATACAGCTTATTTTTTTAAGTGAATTTCTTAACACAGGAAGAGACAAAATGTCCTGAAAAGAAACAGCAATGTCCTAAGGAACAACTATGAAAATTTTAAATTACAAGAAAACAGTGCAACTTTCAGTGTTGGTTAATGTATTGCTTTTCGAAGTACCCAGTGATTTTGCTCTTCCAGCAATATTATGTAACCAGATTTTTTTTAGTGTATAAGAATGTCCCACATAGACATTCCAGAACAAATTAAGAGCTTATTACAGTTTTACAAGAAGATACTCATCTCAACATTTAAAAGCGACATAAATTAAGGAGCAGTATGTTAATAAACAAACTTCTGGACTGGAGAAGTAGAAAGGGATGTCTTTATGGAGAAAAAAAAATGTGTTATATCAAAAGCTCATTTGTTAAGCTATAGTTTGTTTATATTATGCATATTCCTACTGGGGCTTTTCAGATTTCTCTGAGGAATATAACATTTGTAGAACAAACAGATTCCAAAAGACTGAAGTGGTATGGGGGGAAAAATGGTCTTCAATTTTGTAAAGACTATTTTCTTATCTATTATAAATTTCCTACGAACTGGACCAAATATTTTGAATTGCTGGTTAGCTGTAGACATAGTTGTTAAGGAAATCATATCTATTCCATTAAAAAGCGCTCTTTGTTGTGGAAACAAATATATTGAGAAATAGCCTTTTTATTCCTTAAGAGATAGGGTTCAAAATATATCTGATTACTAAAAATAGTATGGAATGTTCAAGGAAAATATGCAGAATTTTTGTCATGTGTATGGATTTCTGCCTTAGACCAGGTGGGCATTTAGGTGGTTTTATAAGATACAGAAGTTCAAGCTTCTGTTCTGTCTTTCGTTTCCCTGCCATTGTCTATTTAATTAATAGTTCTTTCTGTGATCAAGTTGACAAGTATACTATGCTGCAAAATGCAAATGAAGCATGTACGGAAACGAGAGCGTGTGTTAAGAGGCTTCTCAGTAGTGTTATTTTTGTTTGTTTGTTTGTTTTTAATACAGCTAAACATGAATTCTGCTCCAACTTTCATTAACTTTCCTGCCAAAGGGAAGCCTAAGCGGGGTGACACATATGAACTTCAGGTGCGAGGCTTTGCAGCAGAGCAGCTGGCTCGCTGGGTGGCTGACAGGACTGATGTCAGTGTAAGTGTAGATAATTTCTCCTTCACAAGCACTTTGTTATTACATGAAATAATTACCTAGGAAATACCCATCAATTTTTACATAAGAAAGTCTACTCTCAGCTACTCTTAAGTAGTCCTAACTACAAAATCTAGATTGGGCCCCCAAAATTTTTTTAAAAAAAGTCATTATGTCGTTAAGGATTCTTGGATTATTTTCTGTGCAAAATTTTGTGTTCTCTGATAAGGTGGTAAGACTCATCTCCTTCATAACACTCTGAATTATTTGGTCAAGTGTGCAGAAGAGTTGAATGACTAAATAAAGCGTGAAGAAGCGTTAACAACTTCACTACAATCAGGTTTATTATGTATTAAACATATTTGTTTTTTCATTGTTTTTCCAGTCTGGTATATTGCATACTTATTAGGAATGAGAATATGATGGATGTTTCTGGGGAAGATAATTTAAATATCTTTTATCCATAGATTCGTGTGATAAGGCCACCAAATTATGCTGGACCATTGATGTTAGGACTACTGCTAGCTGTCATTGGAGGCCTTGTGTATCTGCGTGGAAGCAATCTGGATTTTCTTTATAACAAAACTGGTTGGGCATTTGCTGCTTTGGTAAGTAACTGTAACTCTTGTCTCCTGTTTTTCTGAGGCTTGTAACAGTTAAATCTTAAAGATCCATTCTTTTAAAGAAGTTCAAATTTGGTAGAGGAAGTTGAGATGCATTTAGATTTTCTTCTTGGTAGTGTAGTAATTTTTAAACTTTTTTCCAGTTTAGTTAATGCTGGATTAGAGGCCTTATGCTAATAAAAGAATAAAAGAAATAAATCTGGAGTACTGTGTCCAGTTCTGGACTCCACAGTACAAGAGGGATGTGGAGCTGCTGGAGAGAGTCCAGCACAGGGCCACAAGGATGATCAGGGGCCTGGAACATCTGCCCTGTGAGGAAAGGCTGAGGGAGCTGGGCCCGTTCAGCCTGGAGAAGAGAAGGCTGAGGGGGGACCTGAGCAGTGTCTAGAAGTACCTCAAGGGAGGCAGTGAGGAGGATGGTGCTGGCCTCTTTTCACTGGTGGCCTCCAACAGAACTAGAGGTAATGGCCACAAACGGAAACACCAGAAGGAACTTAAGAAAAAATTTCTTAACAGTGAGGGTGCCAGAGCCCTGGAACAGGCTGCCCAGAGAGGTTGTGGAGTCTCCTCTGGAGATCTTCAAAACCCGCTTGGACGCAGTCCTGTGCCACGTGCTCTAGGTGACCCTGTGTGTGCAGGGGGATTGGGCTAGATGATCTCTAGAGGTCCCTTCCAACCTTGAGCGTTCTATGATTCTGTGAAAGGACAGTGCAAAGCCTAAGGATGAATTCCAAGCCAGTATTTGGTATGAAGTGAAAATAAATTGGTGAAACAAGATAATCCTTATCGATTAGTGTTCTTTTCTTTTCAGTGTTTTGTATTAGCAATGACATCAGGCCAGATGTGGAACCACATTAGAGGGCCACCATATGCTCATAAGAATCCCCATACGGGACAAGTGGTAAGCCAACATTTTTGTTTGTTTACTTATTATTGTGTAGAAATACAATAGAAACACGGAATAGGCCAACACTAAAAGAGAACAGTCAGAGTGCAAATTCTGTTCTTGGCTGCTTAGTAAGTCAGTGAGGCTAACCTATCTTGCAGTCAACAGGACAAATTGTAGCTCTGTCTACAAAAGATGGTAAACACCTTAGTAGGCTTTTTTTTTTTTTAATAGGTGCATTCCTGTACAGTGTAATAAGCTCCTCTACCTATCTAATAACTCCCATAGAAATATATTCTGATGTTCTTGAGATAAGTCAGAGTTGAGTAGTGATTTTAAACTTGTGAAATCCCACTCCTGGGAAAGCTTAGTTTGAGTGGCTTGAAAGGTGCTGCATTATATTGCATGAGTTTCACAGTAATAGTCTTTATCTACTGGGGATACTGCATCTCTTGAGATACCTATATATACTGGCTGTTCTTATGTAATTTTTCTCAAAGAAATTAATCTTATTGCATCCTTTCATACCCAGTTAGATGGGTTCTGGCCCTCTATATTTTTTATTGAACAGCTGATTTGTTCATTAAACATGCTTTTCTACTTAGGTATTACATCACGTCATGGGATGTCAAACTTCCCGTAAGGGATTCAGTAACAGTGGGCTTAACTTTTGAATTCAAACTTTTGTTAACCCACTTAAGTTCTTTGTGTGTGTTAGTTCGCAAACATTTACTAATTGAGTCAACTTGTACCAATGTGGAGGTTCTTACTTGGCATGATCTCAGAAACATTTCATTTTGCTTCATAATATTTCTTCCATTCGATATGTTTGGAGGCCCTTTTTGATCTTCACATGGAGATTAAAAAATAAAGCTTCAACTCTGTTAGCAATGACTTTGGTTTTTCTGGTATGCCCTGGGAAGATATCAGATGCTCGTGCATAGGGGCTGCGTGCAGCTGGAAGAGCAGCAGAGCAGTGCATGCAGCATAGCAGTCTAGCATGAGGATGAATCTGATAGTAGGGGGTGTGAGAGGATGTTGCTGTGGTCTTTTGCACAGTACAAGGAATTTGGGTCATGAGGGCCATAGCTGAACTTATTGTAGTCTGAATGCTGTTTTGGGCTGATAGCACTCGATGCTAGAGGGGAGAGATTTGATGTTGCTGTTGCACCCTTCCTCTATCACCTGCCCAAATCAGTGGTCAGCGATTGAAATTGTTCTCTCTGGGCTACGACTTCTGTGTGTGCTGTGAGACACAGTGCAAAAACAGTTCCAAGTTTTACAGCTGTTAATTATTTTAAAGTTGACTCCAGTCTTTCTTAACTTCAGTTGCTTTTTGTTTTTTACAGAACTATATCCATGGAAGCAGCCAAGCCCAATTTGTGGCAGAAACGCACATTGTTCTTCTGTTTAGTATCCTCCTTAGATTAATCCAGTTGGTGACAGTTTTTCTGCTAACTTATGCTAATGCCTTTTCTTTGAGTACTTTGTCAAGTCTCTTATCTGTCACCTAATACTGATGCAGAAACTTATAGAGCTTTTCTGTGTTGACAACTATGCTCTTCTTATGCCAAAGATCATTAATTTGAAGAGAACTGTTTACTGATCTTTCCTGCCTCCTGCCTTGACATATTACTGAACCAAATACAATGTTAAAGATGTGGATTCTTGTGGAACTACCAAGTTTATTAGGATTACCCCTGTTCTTCTGTATGTCGTATCTTTTTGATGTCTCTTACTTAATTCTTGCTTCATTTTCTCCTCTTTTTTCTTCTGTTATTTTTTTCTTCTCTTTGCTTTTAATCTTCTCTCATTCATGATAGTGATTCAGATTTTTCCATGCAAATATGATGCCATCAAGCAAGGTGAGCATAAACTTGCATGTTGAGACCTCTTGCCTTTCCCATTTGAGTAAAAATGCTGAATACTCTGAAATTCAGTACTCTTTCTCAGCTTATGGGTTTGTGACCCATCATTTATAACTGTAGTTGTGTGACCCAAACTTTTATTTCTTGTCTTCTCACCTGAAACAGCCTTTATTTTGCATTATTTTTCTTCATTCAGGAATTCTTCATGTTTCTTTCTTTCTTTCTTTTTTTTTCCCCCTATTTTTTTTCATTTTTGCAATCTCTAGTTGTCAACATTTTCGTAGTATGAAAGTGCACAGACAGATCACACAAGCACATCAGGTTCTCAGTTACCAGTATATCTTCAGTATTTAATTTGGAGCTCCGGTCTCCTCCTATACTGTTTGACCATGATTTATAAGTTATCTTATTTTATTTTATTTTATTTTATTTTTTTCCCCTCTTAAATAGTAAAATACCAAGTACTCTTTATTTTTAAGCTGATTAGAATGCACACATATTGTTAAATACCTCTTGAGATTTTTTCCAATGGTATAGAACAGTATTAGGAGCAGATCTGCCTCTCTTTAGGAAGGAGTGCTCTCCTTACAAGCTGAAATAGCAAAGGCAGTTTTTTAAACTTATATAAGAGACTCCTATATGTTCTATTTTTTAAACTAAATTGTATGAGTGGCTTTGTTTTTTTCTATAATTGCTTGTTGCAGTGAGTTTTGATGCCTCAGATGCTGGGTTAGAGCAGGGTTTATGAATTTAGGAATGAGTGTGTTGTATATTTGTGGATCTGGCCTTAAACAGCATTCACAGATGGTGGTGTTACTTTAGGAATGGTTCTCCTCCATGAAGCAGCTACTTCTGACATGGATGTGGGAAAACGAAAAAGTAAGTATTTCTGTGTCTATCAAGGGAAAATATTCAGTAAAGATTTCTGATACAGAAACTAGTAAAATGTTTCTTCATGTTGGATTTTCTTTTTATTCTGTGTATTTGTTGAATTTTTTTCCCTGTGAGTAGTTTCTGGCAAACAATGGCATTCAGAGTTCCCATGGACTCTGCCCTTCAGGCCTGCAGTTGCTGGGACAGACACGGGTTATAGAGTATTTCACAATTTGATCATCCTTCTTCGTGGAGGAAAAAAATATGAAACAGACTTAAACTTCAGTGTTCTGACAATTGGAAGTAGAGTATTTCACATGGTCTTGCTTAATATCCAGGTAATCTGATGAGAATAGAAATAGGGTTTACTTATTTGCTACAGCAAGAGTCTTAAGATGCCCTAAGAAAAAATCAAGTAAGAAAATACTTTAGAAAGCATCAGGCACTAACTTACCAAGGGTTTCATTATTTTAGCTGGCCCGGAAGAGGGAGGTAAGTTTTCCTTTTCTGGCTTTATTCTCATTTTACAGCCATGTTCATAGTCATGTTTCAGTCCTCCATGTGTTAGGCAATATTTCTATTTTGGAATATGCGGATCTCTGTCATTTTATTTCTGCAGTATTCATGAAGGCTGTTTCATTATAAAAGTGCATGCAGATCCTATACCAGTCTTTTATAAAATGCGTAAGATCTTTTTTGCATATGTGTTAAATTCTCACTATTTGTTCACATATATCAGAAGAGTAGTTATTCCTGCTCAGATTTCCCTAAAACAATTGAGTGTTCGCTGGGAACAAAGTAAAACAGATTTCTGCTTTACTCTGGGAGCACATGCATGTGTACTTACTGATTTCCTTTCTGTACTTATTTTATATTTTGCACCCTTAAACAGAAATGAATCCCTGGGTTTTTCCAGAAGCATTAGGAGTTGCTTAGCAAACTACAATATAAGCTCAAAGACCTTTTGGATGAAAGGAAGATAGACAGCTGCTTTGCAGCCTTTTTTTTTTTTTTAAAGGGAGAAGAAATAAAGGACTGCAATTTGTATGAAATGGACTTATAGTGGGAATTGGAAAGAGAACTAATGTTAACCTAATTCTCAGTGACTATAATAAAACTCTTACCTGACCAAATAAATCTGCAGATATTGCAGAATGCTTTTGAAAACCCAGTTACAGGGGTATTTTTCAGAGAGGACTGTCATTTTACCCTAATCTTTTTCTCTTACAGTCATGTGTATTGCTGGTATTGGCTTGGTGGTGGTGTTCTTCAGTTGGTTGCTCTCTGTCTTCAGATCTAAATACCATGGCTACCCATACAGGTTTGTGGGTTTTTTTTCTGCTGCTCTAGTTAATATTTTGCTCTATATTACAGTCCAGCTGTACTGCCACCAGCTTTTTTTGGAGTGATTCGGAAAATTACAAATCAGGACTTAAAGACTGAAAGTAATGGCCGATGGTAAATTTTGGCTGCCTGCTTATGAATGGATGTGTTTCTACTGACCAATGTTTTCCTCTGTAGTAATGTTAATATAAATCAGGATGGTGAGTTAGACAAAGAGCTTGGTTTCTAAAATTTAGTTTGGCGGGAAATGCTTTTTTTAACTCATTTCTTGGTGATTAGTAGTTTTGTCTCATATGATGATATGATAACTGAAAATATCATTATTCTGTGGATAATGCTATTTCCATCTGGCCAAAGCAAAGATTGCAGTCTTCCTTTTCATGTTCTTACATAAAATATTCTTCCATTGGTACCTTGCCCAACATACTATGAAAAATAAGTGCACCTCTCCCATTTTCTACCCTATTTTCTGCACTTGGATTATTAATCCCTATTTGTGAGAATATCTGATCCTCTGGAAGAGGATTGCACATCTTTATTTCTTCTAAGATTAATAAAAATGTTCTTTTGTTTCTGCAGCTTCCTAATGAGCTGAAGGATTCCAGAATCTGTAACATCGGAAGGGTGGCAACTCTGAAATTGTGTGTAATGGAATGGAAGAACTAAATGTGTATGGTTCATGCTACCTCTCTTTATGTTGAATGAGATAGTTAAACACTGAACCAAAGACAATGTGTAGTGCCTTAAATATAACATGCAATTTGCTGAAGGACACTGAGTATTAAGATGCAATCTCTTTTTGTAAGCTTTACATCTTCTTCAACAATTTCCTCTTATATCTACTACTCTGTTTCTGTAGACTAACTATAAACTATTTTAAATTCAGTTGGATAATGTTTTCTGTATTTTTCTCTTCAAATATTTATCAAATATTAATGTGTAGCTGATTGTTTCTCTGGATCATGCTTTTACATTCCTGAGGAAAATTCATCTTGTACTTGGAAACCTCTTCCTTCAAATCTGTATATGACCTTTGGAGTATATTCCACAGTGCAGTGGGAAATGGGCATATTTTAGAGCTCTTTTAATTTTGTGTAGGATACTTAACTGCAGTATGATGCAAGAGATTGTACACATAGGAAAAGGAAGTTTTTAACAGGTAGAAATTTCTTATTAAAATAGCTTCACTATTTTTATGTTGTGACCTACTAATTAGTTTTCTACTTGGTATTCAAGATTCAAAAACAGACAGGCACATTTCTTGTCCTTTCTCCAATTTCTCCATAACCAGTAACTCCTATCCTAACTTCAGTTGAAGTTCTCATTTGTTAGAGCAGGTTGCTCAATCATTCATTGAGTACTTTGTTTGCTAAATGTTGAAACTACCATGTAAGTTATACATGTTTGAGACATTGGCTCAAAGTCAGAAATATTCTTAGCCTGTTCTACACTCCTCTCCTGAAAATTTGAAAACCGGAACTGCAAGGGAACTCTGTGGCATGAGTGACAAGATGTTAACTGCCTTCTAAATTCCTGCTCAGTGCCCCGACAAACCAGCAGATAACTCTGTGTGTGTGTGTGTGTGTAAGTTCTCGTTATGTTTTCTGTTAATTTCTCTAAGCCTTTTTCAACCTTTATTTTGGGGGAGGACAAGGGAGTGGGAAGAGACATCTAAGGATAAATTTTATTGCCCTATGGAAGATTTGTTAGCCTTAAATTGAGTGTGAATGTCCTTTTTCTTCCCTTGCAAAGACAACTTCGCTGTCAGAATTCTTGGGAAGACCTTGTGCCTCAGTCCAAACTTGTGTATCATGGTGTCTGTACCAGAGGAAATCTTCACAGCCTGCTTCAGTAAATGCTCCCTCAGGCGGTGGTAGCCTTGGAGTTTACTAGTCAGAGGCAAATATGAGACTTCTGCCTCTCCCCTGTCTCAAGGGGTTAAAGAATTTGGAAACCTTGAAGCTCAAAAAGGACTATATCATTCAAAGTACAATATTATTCTTATGTAAGCGTGTTGAATTAACATACATTTCAAGTGCCTTAACTCCACTAATTTCGTACTTGGTTTCAACATGCTGGGATGCGTTGCTATGCCATACAGAATGGCAAACCTTAGTGGAATGGTTAAATTGTGTATTTGACTAGATTTTGGACAACAGTTTTAAATAAAATAAATTTTTTTAGTCTTCCATGTTCTTTTGTCTTTCAAACTTTGTTAATAGTTAAAAACACAGAAGAATCTGTTTTCTTCTACTGTTGCCCCAACATGTTAATACAAGTTACTGGATGTGATTATCATTAATGTATGTGCATTTATGGAGAATTTATAGCCCCAAATGTCAATGCTAGCAATCTTTTCATGTAGCCAGTTAAAATCCAAGGATCTCATGTTTTGTTTCCTTTGTCTTTGACAGCTGTCCTGAGGTAAAAATCTTTACTTCCTGGAGTCATAGACAGATCACTATAGTATTTACAGAGGTGGAATACAGTTATGACTATATATTTGCCTGTAAAATTTTGGATTATTGTAGCTGTCACTTCACACCCCTTTGGTACTTCCAGGGTGCTTCCTTTGGGTTGCAGTCAGCTTGTAAGTCGATTCTCCTTAGCAGTGCGGGCCAGAGTGAGTTAAAATGCTGTTCTGAAGTAGTACAGTGTTTTTTCTTAAACTTTTGGTTTTGTTTGCTTTTTGCTGACTTAATGTCTTCTGAAAAGCGTAATTATATATTGATTAACTTGAGGCGTGTATATCATGCTGATGGTTGGAGAGGAAGTACTGTAAAAGCTTACCTTAGAGAACATTTACTGTAATAATAGGAGCAAATAGTGTATAGTGGATTAGGTTACTTTGCTGTAGTTGAAAATAGACTGTGGTTTCCCTAATGTCACTGGCCATGGACTGCTACTCTTTTGCTTATGAGAAGAAGCTGTAGTATGTTTGAATATTGTTTAGAAATAATACTAGGTTAGAAGTAGAGTTCTCTGAGCTAAACCTAGGGCAAGTGAGTAACTCAAGCTGGATTAATCTAGGCAAAGGTTTGTGTTAATGTAAAGGGATAAGGTTGCTGAAAGCTTCTCTCTTCACATCATGCTAGTGTGTCAAACCTGGCAGGCAGTGGGATAGCCATCTGTGTCTGGGAATACGATGAAGAGATGTTTCCTTGGGAGCTTTAGACACAAAATGTAAATGCTTTGTAATTACAATTGTAGCACACTTAAAAGTGCATGAAAGCTAATTCTGATCCTTGTTAAGAATTGTAGCAAACTTGGCAAATCAAATTAGATTTTTTTAAAGTACTGAAGAAAGTTAATTGCTTAATTTTCCATATGCTTGGGAACATCCAGAGAAAAATAGGTGCCAAGGCTACTTCTGTTTTTTTTTGGATATGCTGCCCACAGTAAAACATTATGCTAGATAGTGGCGTCTTTTATACAAACTTCTGTGGGATCCATAGTGTCCATTATATTTTGTAGCAGTAATTTCTGATAGTGTATTAAGAGTCATTGAATAATTTGCAGATCACTTACACTCATTTTTTAAAGCAGGTTTGAATTACTGAATGTTTTCATCTGCTATAAGAAGTGAATTTTTTTGTAAAGAACTTGGAAGAGTACTGGCATTTTGTTCCTTTAAGGGTCATCTGGATGCTCACTGCTTTTACTGAAAAGCTGTGATTGAATATAACTAGGTTGATTCCACAGTATCACTTTGAGTGTTTTTAATAACAGCAAAACATGAGGAACAAAGTCTAGCTCCCGAGTAAGCAATCATCTGCTTTCAGTACTTACATTATTCTCCATTCAAAGAATAAATGTATTTTGCATATAATCCATTCTAAAAACTTAAAATGTCACCTTTAAAAGCTTGATCTTGACTATTCCTATAAAGTAGATTTAAATGTAGTATTGTGTTGTTCTGGGTTAATTATGCTACTTAGTCTAAGTGCGATGGAGGTGTAGTCTGTCTCTCTAGGTCTGGAGCATGGACAAGTATTAAAATACTCTTTTGTCAATTGATAATGGCTACACCTGTCCTTCGGCCTTTTTTTTTATAAAAATAATTAATTATCATTATGAAAAAAAAATCAGGCAGTGATGAGACCTAACAGTGACCCTCCCGAGGGTCACGGTAAGCTGGACCCAGCAGTGTGTTGGAATAGCATTGGGAAGAGTGGTCCTGCATGCCAGAGAAACCGAACTGCCCGCAGCTTACACATGCAGAACGCATTTCTGGAGACGCCTTCAATATCCAGACTCCAGTATGTTCTTACCGCCTCTGTTTTTGACAGCCTGACAGTTAATAGCATTTGGTTTTGTCTTTTGGAGGAGTAGTTGGGAGATGGAAACATTTCCATTCTTAAGTTGATCTTGCCTTTCCCTCACTATAGGATTTTAAGTGCATTTTTACATGTAAGTTCTTAAATCTGCTGTTTGGCTTTAAGATTGAGTAATGCCAGATGTGATTCTTGATAAAATTCAAGTTATGAAGCAAGTTATGTTTAGACTGATTTGTAGAATTTTTGTTCTCGTGAGTTCTGACTTCTGACAGGAATATAGAAGCTGCTCATAAAGCAGGGAAAATGATCTTGACATACTTTGGTCTTGCATGACATCAGTGTGCCTCCTTACCTTGTGGAATGTGGTTCAAGGTGAGCCCTGACCTGCTATCTTTGTAGCTTGCTATCTTTCCAATCCCTGTTTTCAAAGTCTTTTCTGTGTTGGTGTTTTAGTCTGTTTGGAGTTCAGGGGCTGATCCTTGTAGAAGACTGGGGTCATTCCAGGCTGTCTTTGGAGGTGGGCAGGGTCATGGTGCCCTTTCCAGGGCTGGGTGTCTGTTTAAAACACTATGGTCAACTTGCTTAAGGCCCCTCACTGTGGCCTCTGCCCTGAGCTGAGAAGGCCCCACTATTAGGTGTCTGGCTGTGCATCTGTAACGGGGCTGCCACTGCAATGGCCGAGAGGAACTGGGCACCTCAGGCCTGGAGCCCCCTGCTGGCCAAAATGGCCACTACACTTCTGGTCAGAAGTGATGTCATGGGGTTGGGTGCATGACGTCAGGACTCCGCCGTGATGTAACCCCGCCTCCAGCCAATCAGAGAGGGAGCGGTGGGACGGTGACGTGAGCGACCCTAGTAACAGGCCCCTTTGCAGCGGCCCAATTAAAAAATCGCTGGGGGCGGAAGGCAGCCAATGGGAGGAGGCCGAGGAGGAAGGCGGCAGGAGGCCGGTCTCCTTCATCCTCCCTCCGACAAGATGGCGGCGCTGGCGATGGTTGCACTAACCGCTTTGTCTCCCTTCGGCGCCTAAGCCCCGTCCCGGCCCGACCCGCCGCTCCGCGCAGCGGCAGCGGAGACCTGACCGCA